GAGTACGGAGTGGCCATGAGCTATCAGAAAGCGTGGAAGGCCAAAGAATGTGCGTTGGAGGATTTAATGGGATCGGCTGAAGAGAGCTATGCTAAATTGGCTAGGTATTTCCATAACATGGGGACAACTAATCCTGGCACGGCATTTTTTATTGAGACGGGGGGAGATAATTGTTTTAAATATTTCTTCATGGCTCTCGGACAATGTATTTGGGGTTTTCGAAATGCAATGCGACCCGTAATTCTAGTTGATGGTACGACTCTGAAAGCTAAATATCAAGGTAAATTAATTATTGCTACATGTCAAGATGCTAATATCCAAATTTACCCTATTGCATTCGGCATAGTCAACAGAGAGAATGATCTGTCCATGCGTTGGTTCTTTTCTAAATTGAGGGAAGTGATCGGGGAAGTCGAAGACCTTGCCTTTGTAACCGATCGAGGACAGTCTATAATAAACGGTATCGCTGAAGTATTTCCCGAGGCACATCATGGGTATTGCATGTACCATATACAAGGTAATTTGAAGACTAGGTATCGGGGCACAGGCATTGTTTCATTGTTCAGGAGAGCAGCCGAAGCTTACAGTGCTGAAGAGTGTAATAAGTTCATGCTCGAGATAGGAAGTAAATCATTACCGGCGTTGGAGTATCTGACGAAGATGGGGATCAAACATTGGGCGCGGGCATACTTTCCAGGACGTCGATACAACATGATGACGTTGAATAACGCGGAGTCTCTCAATGCATTGTTTAAGAAGGATCGAGAGTTACCAATTCTCGCAATGATTGAGAACATTCATAACAAGCTACAACAGTGGTTTCATGACCGACGTGCGGCATCAGAGAGTTGCACTAGCATGTTGGCCCCAGCTCAAGAGGAGAAACTATTTAAGACGGCAGAGGTTGCGAGGAAGTTGAATGTGGAAGCACTAGATGAGTTTCGCTTCTCCGTGCAATGTGCACGTAATACGGCATATATGGTGGACTTGACTGATAACACGTGCACTTGTACGAGAGTTCAGTTGGAGAGTTTTCCATGTGAGCATGCTGTTGCGGTGGCCATGTATCGAGACTTTGCTGCGAGAACGTTGTGCTCTTTGTATTATACGACTGAGTCTTGGAGAATAGCATATGCCGAGACTATATTTCCTCTGCCGAATGAAGCCGAGTGGGAAGTTCCCAAGCACATTCTCCCATTTCATAATTTGTTACCACCAGCAGTTGAACCGCGTGGTCCTGGACGTCTAAGTACATCTAGAATACCATCTACCGAAGAGTTTTCTCGATCGCGTAGGTGTGGCCGGTGCAGAGCCGTAGGGCATAATCGTCAATTTTGTACCAGTCAAATTCCCCTAAATGACGACTAGACAGGTACGTGAAATGAATAATATTTCCTTTTACTATACACTATTCAATATTTGTTATTTATAAATCTTCAATATACAAAAAATAGTTCGGTGATTTCCTTTGAATGTTATATACATTGAACACAAATTTACAATTATTTCAAAATAACAAAAAATAATGAAATTTCCAATTTGAATGTTATATTACATTGAACATAAATTTACAATTATTTCATAATTACCAAAATAATGAAATTTCCAATTTGAATGTTATATACATTGAACACAAATTTACAATTATTTCATAATTACAAAAATAATTAAATTTACAATTGAAATGTTACATATGTATAACTGAAATTTATGGGTTAGCATTAAATTCGAACAAATCACATGCTAGCTTCTTTCTCCAGTTCTGTATCCACGACTGGTTGATTTCATCAACCATATGTCCTATACTTAAAAATTCAACGTACTTAATGGCAAATATGCCACAGTCGCCGCTGCAATTGAACAAGAATGAATCAGTTTAGTACTGTGTAAATAAAAACTAAATCTGAAAGATGAAAACAACAACGTTCAAACACTTACCTTACGGACTGTCGCGCTGTCGTCGTGTTCCGAACGATCCGCAATCTGTCCTGTACATTTATCCCCGCTCGTCTGGCCATCATAGGAACAATGACAGCCACAGACTCCAGATTTTGCTCCAACTGGCCTTGTGTCAAACATGAATGATCTAGGTCGTACACATATATAGTCGAGTCAGCAAAAACGATCTCCAGCGTAACATAGTGTTTATTGATGCACGCTGGAATGTACATATGTGTACAACCCTCCCATGATTTTCTCCCGACAATCGGTGACAGTCCTATCATCCACTCGAGCATATATTCTGGCACCGTGTACTCGTTACCCATTTGTGCGAGCGACTGATACTCTATGGTAACGGCACCCAGGAACTCGGTGTTTAATATGACTTGACCATGGACATCAAATGATTTTGGATGTCTTTGAGCTCGATCTCGCAACAAGTCCATGGCCAGGTCGATGTGCTGCAGCAGGAAACACCGAAAAAGTATGAGTTATTCATTTAATAAACACAAGGTCACATATACATAAAAAACACGAAATGAATAGTTCACTTGCATCGTCGGCGAGCCAAGCTCCCACAGTGGTGATATCGTGGAACCACTTGTAAGGGTCCAAGATCGTCCTTTGTCCTATCGTGCGGCTAGCTCTATAAAAAACAGGGAAATATTAAAAATAAGCGTAGACGAGTTAGCGTACAGTGCTTTATTAAAATCATACAATACTTACCCGGGGATAATTCTCCTCCACTCTGTCTTGAACGCTTTCCACTTGGCATTGTCCACCTCTCTGAATAAGTTCGGGTACGTCCCATCGATGAACGTCCTCCTATCGTGCGGCTAGCTCTATAAAAAACAGGGAAATATTAAAAATAGGCGTAGACGAGTTAGCGTACAGTGCTTTATTAAAATCATACAATACTTACCCGGGGATAATTCTCCTACACTCTGTCTTGAACGCTTTCCACTTGGCATTGTCCACCTCTCTGAATAAGTTCGGGTACGTCCCATCGATGAACGTCCTCCTCTTGGCCTCAACCGTGAAGGGGGAAACAACATACTGTGACGGCACTCTCAATCTCTTGTCGACCACCTGCTCTGTCTCATCAACAGCATGTCTCTTATCCTCAATCACGTCGGGCGTCCTCTCGACCTCCGGGGCCACCTCCTCCGCCCCCTCCATGGGGGCCTCCCCCTCCGTCGCCACCACCTCAGCCCCTCCCGTCGGGGCCACCCCCTCCATAGACAACCACAAGGACTCCAATGTCTCATCACGCCAAAAATGTGGGTGACCCCCCTCTCCATCACCATCTCTACCCCCCTCTCGATCATGGTCTCCGCCATCCCCTCTGTCCCCCCATCGTCTGCCGGCTAAATCTCCCCTAAGCGCCGCTACTGTATCCTGAAGGTCGACAACGGAAGACTGTAGTATTCCAACATCATGGGATAGATCGTCAACCCTCCCTGTCAACTCTCGTCCCATATCGTCGACCCTCCCTGTCATATAGTCAACCTTCCCTGCCAGATCGTCGACCCTCCCTGTCAACTCTCGTCCCAAATCATCGACCCTCTCTGTCAAATCTCGTCGTAGCGCGCCGACCTCCTCCGCTATAAATCCAATCAAACGGGCATACAAATCATCACTGTGCTCGGGAGACACACGGGGAGGTGTCTGGACGGAGGTGATGCCAATGGCGGAGACGATACTCTCGGCGGAGATGATGCCAATGGTGGCGGCGATGGCCCCGGCGGAGGTGATCGTCGATCAGCTGGACCGCCCTCCTACATAAATAAAATGAAAAATTATTCAATAAATTTATACGTCGATCATATTCAATAAATTATATTTCATTCACATACCCAATCTCGGTCCAAGCTTGGATCAGGCATCTCCTCGTCTGGGGTGTGCAGAACGCCTAAATCCCGCACAAGACCCCGAGCCTCCTCTTCCATCGATGGCGTCAACTCAGGTATGACTTCAAGCTGACATATTGACATTTCAACTATTTAACGATCATGTAAACAAAATTTTAAACTACATATAATGTGATATCACAAATGCATAATACTTACCTGAGGATCGTTGAGGAGGGCCGATAACTGCTTCTCGGTGGGACATCCCTCCACTCGCGATGATCTCCAATGATGCATCCGAGGGCAGCGTGTCTCCCCTCGCTGTGCAAAGTGGGCATCCAGTACAGGAACTGTCTCATACACCCAAATCTGTAACACATACACTTATTAAGTATCAATGTAATACACTAAAACTTTAACTTTGATTATATTAAACATTTACCTGCACTGCTAACGGCAATCCGTATGTATCGTATTTACGCATCGACCCCCTGGGCCTCGAGTGCGATCTGGTGAACACATGTACGGTGTCTTCGTAGCATCTTCGGCCCCACGGATAGTTGTTGAACGCATCGATGTTGTCAACAACTTGCAAATGAAAAATGTCGATGGCAGTCTTCTTGTGATGACACCTCATCACACTCTCGAGGATGTAGACCAGCCCAAACTTCAATCTATCTAGCATATGGTCGCACCCCCTGATCGCGACCATCAAGTCGGGTAGAAGCACTGACCCATGTCCCTGGAAGTACGTCTCGTACAGCCTACTGCTTCTCTTCATGGCTGCATCGTCGCCCGTAATCTTCAGTCCAGTGATCAATGTAAACTCAAACATCGAGAAACTAACGACCTTGCCCCCGAGGTCGAACTGGAGAGAATCGCCGTCGACTGGCCTCAGAAGCCGACATAGAAGTGCATCAATGATCTGTCCTGAGTACTGCACCTCTCGCAACTGGTACAGCGGCCACAAGAAGGACTGTCGTAGAATATCTCCGTGCTGATCATCGAGCAGCTCCAATACAGCAGTAAAACTCTCAAAACTACTGTTCCAAGTAGCTTTCCCCGACATCCGTCTCAACTCTACATCTAAATGATACTCCATCCTACAAAAATTCTAATGTTATAGTATTGAACAAGAGATAACAAAATAAAGCATACTCTCACAAAATCAAGAGAACCGAACTCTAACTACCATACAACCACAAATATTACATTTGAAAAATATATTTACAAAAAACAACAAATCAAATTAAATGTATTGTCAAAAAAATTAAAGAATATAAATATTATTTAAATAAATTGAAAAAAAATCAAAGATTTTCATAAAAAAAAATAAAAGGAACAAAACAAATTGTTAATTTCGAACAATATTATGTATTCAATTATTAAATTATATAAAAAAGGAAATTATAAAAATTAAATAATTAAATTAAATAATTATTATTTGGAAAATATATTTACAAACAAAAAATTTCAAATTAAATACATTTTCAAAAAATGTAAAGACTATTTATATTATTTAAATAAATTTGAAAAAATAAATTAAAGATTATTTCATAAAAAAAAAAAAGGAACAACACAAAATTGTTAATTTTAGAATGTTTGAATTATTAAATTATATAAAAGACAAATATAAAAATTAAATAAATAATTACTTTACCTTTTTCTAAAATTTAGACTATTCATATTATTTAAATAAATTTAAAAAAATAAATTAAAGATAATTTCATAAAAAATAGAATCAACATTGCTAAATTTACAATATTTGAAATATTAAATTATATAAAAGACAAATATAAAAATTAAATAAATAATTACTTTATCTTTTTTAAAAATTTAGACTATAGATATTATTTAAATAAATTTAAAAAAATAAATTAAAGATAATTTCATAAAAAAATAGAATCAACATTGTTAAATTTACAATATTTGAATTATTAAATTATATAAAAGACAAATATAAAAATTAAATAAATTTGAAATAAAAAATTAAAGATAATTTCATAAAAATAATTTGAAAAAATAAATAAAAAATTTTGAAAAAATAAATTAAAGATAATTTCATAAAAAAAATAATTAACATTGTTAATTTTACAATATTTCAATTATTATATTATATTGACAATGTTAAAAAAAATTAAATAAGTAAATAATATAATTACTATTTAATCAAATAAAAAATTTAATTAATTACAAAAATTATAAAAAAAAATTAAAATTTAAATATTTTATCTGGGCCGGTGAACCGGCCCAGATGCCCGACTGTTAACAGTCGATTTTGGACGTTCCAACGCTCGGTGGCTGGGAAACGGCCGGAAACCGCCATTCCTAGCCACTGAGCTTCAAAAAATGGCAAAAAATCTCATTTTTCACATTCCAGCATGCCCACAATCTAGCTACTCATGCCCATGGATCTAATTTCAACCAAAATTACTAAGGATGCTAACTATGAAAAAAAGCATTCGAACTAGAGTTTTGATCAGAAAACTAACCGGTTCTTTTACTTCCACTGTAGATGATGATCGTTGATTGCGACGTTGGTGTAACTCCGGTGGTCGGTCGGTCGGATTTCTGCACTGGTCGGTCGGTCGGTTCGGTCGGTGAGAGAATTATCAAACAGTCTGAAGGGTAAAATGGAAAAATACTGTGAAGTTTTCTTTTTAACTTAATTTGTTTTTTTTAATTCATTTAATTGGTCAAAGGCCAATGTCAATTTTTGCTACAGTGTAAGGGTCATTTTTGTGTATTTCCTCAATTTTTTTCCACGAGGGTTGCGTTCATGTGTGGCAAATTGGTGTTGCAGAATTTACACAAGTCAAGACGTGGCATAACTGGGTTGGATGAATCCGTTTATGGTAGGTCCACTGCGACCATTGCTGGCTAAGCTCCATGACAAATACTCGTCCGTCCCAATTATATAAGTTGAGTTTCATTTTCCTCTTATTCCAAATATATATATATATATATATA